CTTTGTTGGGCTCCATGATCACTGCAGATGGTGACAGCAGCCACGAAATTAAAAGGCGCCTGCTTCTTGGGAGGAAAGCGATGACAAACCTAGACAGCATCTTAAAATGCAGAGACATCACCTTGCCGACAAAGTTCTGCAACGTCAAAGCTATAGTTTTTCCAGTAGCGATATATGGAAGTGAGAGCTGGACCGTGAAGAAGGCTGAAGGCTGAAGAACTGATGCTTTTGAATTGTGGTGCTGAAGGAGACTCTTGAGAGTCCCCTGGACTGCAAGGAGAACAAACCTATCCATTTTGAAGGAAATCAAACCTGAGGGCTCACTGGAAGGACAGATCCTGAAGCTGAGGCTCCAATACTTTGGCCATCTCATGAGAAGAGAATGCTCCCTGTTGGGGAAGTGTGAGGGCAGGAGGAGAAGGGGACGACAGAGGACGAGATGGTTGGACAGTGTCATCAAAGCTACCAACATGAATTTGATCAAACTCCAGGAGGCAGTGGAAGACAGGAGGGCCTGGCGTGCTCTGGTCCATGGGGTCACGAAGAGTTGGACATGACTTAATGACTAAACAACAACAAATGGTCTTTTTGTGTGTTTTTGCAATTATTTTTCCCCACTACTACATTCTTGTGTTCAAAAAGAAAACCTACTCAACTCCAAGATCTGTTCCAAACTGTTACCATTCTGACATAGCAGGCATTCCGAAAGCACTCTTATATCTCACTGTGGACAATATACCTTGCCATTGTATACTGTCTCATTTGTATTCCATGTGTGATCAGATGGCAGGCTGATAATGTACAAAGTAACAGCGGTATGTGTGAATGAAAGACAGGAACCTCAGTGTACCTCTTTCTTGAAAAGCGTCATCTTCCCGTTCCGGCAACGGTTTCCAAACTAACGTTGCCCTGTGCTCCTCTTTCCTTACTGATGTTCTGTTTTTCAGTTCAGGGATGTCAGCCTGGAATTCTGATCCAATATTGATACGCCTGAAATCAGTTTTTTTTAAAAAAGTAAGTTATTTAATGTAAGTTATTTAAAGATGCAGACCCAATGTGCCATCTGCAATCTGAGTGGGCAACTGAAGTCTTAAGAAGAAAACAGGCTAAAAGAAATAACTGCTTATACCATATAGGAAGCATCAAGGTAGAGAGGGGAAGGCAAAAATACTGGAAACTTTTAACAGAAGGCATAAAATGATAGGGGAGAGAGAAACCTCCCCATATTCTAGTACTGTTTTGGGGGCGTTGTCATTGTATTTTTGGTATTTACTTGCTTACTTTTCTTGGTTTTGAGAAAGAGGCTGTGGTATGTATGTATGCTTTATTTTGCTATTTTTTCTTGTGTGTGTAAGGGGATGCTTTCTCTGATTGTTTTTTAAAACTTGTTATTTGGTTAATTTTCTGTGTATTTATTCTGTTAAAAGCATATATATTCAAGGAGCAATAATCAGGTGAACTAGACTGCCCAGCAAACAAAACCTGTACACAAGGTAACAAGTCTTACGGTTCTATGTCAATAGTCTGCTCTCCTGGCCCCGGAGTCACAGGAATGTTGCCACCATCCACACTGTCTGAAAGACAAACATGACTATGATGTTCTAGAGAAAAGTAGACAATTCTTCCACTCATATACGTGTTTGTTCACTTACTTGTACAATCTGTGTTTCTACTGCTCCAGGAAAACTTTTAAGAAAATAAATCCAAATTGGGATAAATAAGGGGTAAGCCACTCCTGTGGCACTACTAAGGTATACACTTTGTACACAGTCAGTCTTAAGTTAAACTTTTAGAATTTCCAGTTAATAAGATCAAAGAGATGTCCTAGACAGGCACCCTCCCAATGTGCTTTACCATCTCCACTCACACCACCAGTGGTCAAGGTGATAGGAACTACAGCCAACAAATGTTTCATGGTGCAGTGCTCAAACTGCTGTACTGCATCCAAAACTGTGCTCCTGACCCAGAATTCAATCCCAGGTAGCCAGCTCAAGGTTCACTCAGCCTCCCATCCTTCTGAGGTCACTAAAATGAAGTACCCAGCTTGTGGAGGGGGGGCAATGTGTACCCTGCATAATTCACTTTTAAACTGCCCAGAGAGCACTGTAACTGCTATAGGGTGGTATATAAGCTGCACAATTTGCTTGTTGCTTTTTATGCATTCAATGCTTTAGGAAATATTTGCTGAAATCCAGTAGTATAGTAATTCACAACTAGAGTAGGCCCATTGAATCAGTGGGGATTTATTGAGTCAACTCCTCTGTAAGGCCCAATGACTGAATGGACCTACCCTAGATGCAACTTACTAAGGGATTTCAGCCAGTGAATAGCATGATCTGTGCTCCTGAGATTATTTTGTAAGAACATCTCAATTTAAACTCTTAAAGAGCTTATTCAAGGCCATGGCAAGCAAATTTTCCACATCTGCAGTGATGAAATAAGGGGTGGGAGAGTTGTTGAGATAATGCATAACAATGCTGAAAATTGTTCTGGCTTGATCAACTCCTAGCTTCCACTTATTTCACTACAAACAGATGGGAGTTTTGCAAACAGAATAATGCAAATTTGTCTGCTTGAGTGGAATCTGTTATGAATGCATTATCTCTTTCTCTGCCTATCCACTGTTTCCTGGTTCAATAGATAACATTTATATGTGTGGGGCTGTGAAAGAAAGGAGGGAGTTGAATTCTTTAGAATTATTTATTCTTCACATTTGTGGAATATAAAAAGGTTCTGAGTTTGGACTCAGAAAAAAGTGGAGGAGGAAGGGGAAAATAGATAAGAAGAAGCAAGCACGCTTGTTCAAGAACAATCAACAATGTGAGGACACAGAACATTGTTCTGCATACACTCTTCATCCAAACAGACTTTATTACAAGCTTTTATTAAGGTTGTCCTAACTGCATACCTCCCCCATCTGCCATCCTATGTACAAATTCTGGACCACCAACTCTCTGGTTTTGCACTGTCACCCATAAGTATGCAGAGACACATAACATGCCAATTCATGCCCTCAAACCCAGCACTGTCGCATTCCCCATCAAATATGTGCTCTATTTCTGTGCTGTTTTGTGGCACAAACATTAACTCATTGGTCCCCTCACAGTCCACATGGGTGACAATGACAAAGCACAGCAGCCTGTGTTGAACATACTATCAGAAATGTCACATCATGTATCTTTGTTGACTGATGAAACTATATCAGGCTTCAGGTGTCTGCGTGTTGGAGGGGTATTTTAAAATATTTGAAGTCTTCCTTCTGTGTTTTTTCTAAGTCCCCTGTGTTCAAGACCAGTGTGTTAAGGCTAGATTTCTTTGCCTCATATGTTGTATTTGTATATGAACATTAAGTGTCAAGAGCCATTTAAACATTCCATCCATGTACCCCCAGCCAGAAGTGGTGTAGTCAAGGAACAGGCACATTCAGGTTATCACAATTCAAGAAATTTAACTACTGTTTTGATAAGCACAAACAGAAAAAACATTGAAGGTCAAAAAAGGTTCAGCACATTTTTAGAAGATGTGCTCTCTCAAGTGGCGACAGATGTCTTTTTGCCCTAGTGTATTGAATTTCCTCACCTATATATCTTGCATTTAGCTTTGTTTTGTGGCTGGTCATTGGAAAGAAAATGCGGGTTACATTTGGAAGTCAAGATGTTAAGGCGCACTTCCCTGAGGAAACCCCTTTGTAGGAGAGAAAATGGGTTAATCTGAGGCCATAACATCTAGTTGGACCCTAAGAAGCAGATAACAGACCACCATGTTTCTCAAGCTAGGTGAACACTATAACTCTACATAAGTGAGGAAAATTGTCAGTCTGGATGTATTTGTATTATATAATATACTTACTAGATCGACAGAGGAGTACCCGAGGAGTGGGCGTCAAAGGAGTGAGAGGCAGCTGGGGGTGTGATGTACCATGAGAAGATGTGATAACACTGCTGAAGAGGCCAGATCCTTGACGTACTGGGCTTAGCATAGGAGGGGGTGTGTAGGGAGGAGGATTGTGAATTCTGTCAAGCAGATGGTCTGCTAAGATGCGAGGAGAACGAAGCTGACTTTGGTACAGCGTAGCACCTGAGTGAGACACACTGAGGCTGAAGGATGGAGGTGGTATGAAGAGTGGTTCAGGTCTGTGACGGGATTTTTTCTTGTCTTGTAAAGGTCTGATGCCTTCTTCGGAGTTGGTGATGCTCGGATGGCGTTTTTTGTTGGGTTCCTGCACAGAAGTTTACTCAAATCAGATATTTTAGCCACAATGAAGCTAGTTTAATGACATCCCTATATCCCCAACTAATAAGACTCTGAGATCCTGCATTTTAGGCAGTTTTGGCCAATAGGGCAGTACCGTTGTGTATACTTAGAGCTGGCAGCTAAGAAAGTTTGCTAAAAACCTGAATTCCTGACAGCACTGACAAAGCTAAGCCAGGGAACTTACAGAGGACCACCTGCTGCATATACCTATATTTTTTATTAAATCAATAGCACATCCAAAAAAACAGACAACTAAATTAAACCTGTTGCCATTTAATCCCTTGATATAGCTTTGTAACTCACTTCACCAAAGATACTTACCAGTCAATGGGTGGTCAAATTGCAACCTTTCTAATAGTTGAGAAAATTGTCCAATAAAATATAGTCAGCACTGATGAAGCTAAGCCAGGGTACTTACAGAGGACCACCTGCTGCATATACCTATATTTTTTATTAAATCAACAGCACATCCAAAAAAAACCAGACAACTAAATTAAACCTGTTGCCATTTAATCCCTTGACATAGCTTTGTAGCTCACTTCACCAAAGATACTTACCAGACCATGCCTTTTTTAAAATCACTTATCCATGACATGCTTTATTTGCATGCAAGGCATCATCAGTTGCAATTATGTTTTTTATAAATCAAAACATTTCTAATTTCTCTCCCAAAGGTCTTGAAGCTCCCATGGAAACTCTTCATTTTTAGGAAGCCACTGTGGAAGTCTTTAATTATGAAAAATTTCCAGCATCGGTGAGCTCATCCTGGTGACAGAGATTTGAAGTGATTAAAGGCTTCCCCCCTCCCATCCCACAACTTCTACAGGATCCTGACAATGAAAAGGATTACTCTGGAGCCTCAAGAGTTTTAGAAGAGATGTCAGAAATGCTTAATTTCCGAAAAATTGCCATAGCTAATGATGCCATCAACTACAGAAGTGGTGACTTATGTAACAGGATTTCAGCCACTGACTTCATTGTCAGTACTGCATTCATCAATGATTGGAATGTCATTATTTAAAAATAATTTGGTATGTCCCATTATGGAAGTCTTTAATTATGAAAAATTTGTTGTGTGCATTCACAGAAGACCACGCTGAAGAAGCTTAATTTCTGAAAAATTGCCATAGCTAATGATGCCATCAACTACAGAAGTGGTGACTTATGTAACAGGATTTCAGCCACTGACTTCATTGTCAGTACTGCATTCATCAATGATTGGAATGTCATTATTTAAAAATAATTTGGTATGTAACCTCTTGGAAAGACACCTCTCAAGTCACTTATTACCATTAATGCACACACAGCCTTTAAAACATATTTTCCATTGTATGACTTCTTACTTTTCAGTTCCTTGTTGGCCTTCCCTCTGCGTTTTGGAAACAATCCATGTTTAAAAGAAGGGAAATGGCCTAAATTGGTGTGAAGAGAATCCACTCAAAATGCCCCCCAAATTCTTCAGTCTCCAAAAAGTATCAATAAAAGATATCATTACTCTCTCATGTAACATAGAACAGTATTTCCTATCATTGCATTGTTTGCCAAAGGAATATTTCTGTAATATCATTATTACAAAAAAATTAACATCACCAGATAACATTGTTACATGCAATTTGTTACTTCCCAGTACTGTAATTATTTCCCATTTATTTTTATAGGCTGTTGTTATTGCTTTGCTTTTGTTACTGCTTAAATGTTATGTTCATTTTACTAATATCTTAAAAATAAATATTTTGTTGAAAATGCATTATATACAGAAAGTAAAACAAAAACCAATTAATGATCCTCTGAGACAGAAGTATTCAAAATCCAGAAAACAAAGGTGAATAATAACTTAATGAAATATAACCTAGAAGATCTTCTGTCATTTTAAAAAGGGTTGGTAGCAGCCGTTATAATGGTGGACATTGTGTGTGCATGATTGGTATTGTAGTGCTAGGAAACTTCCTCCCCAACTTCTTTTCCCAGAAAAACTTCCCTTACCATTTCTGCTACAGATCAAAGCAGACAGATACATATATCTTGTTTATGTTTTTTCCTTACAAGCACACAGCAACTCAAATAGAAAGACACAAAACACCTTGGCTGATCAAACCAGTGGTTCATCTTGCCCTGCATTCTATTCCCACAGTACCATGTTTCCCCGAAAACAAGACAGGGCCTTATATTAATTTTTGCTCCAAAATGTGCACTAGGGCTTATTTTCAGGGGATGTTTTATTTTTTTTACGTACAAGAATCTACATTTGTCCAAATACAGTCATGTCATCTTCTTCTGGTTCCTGCACAATGGTGGAGATTTGGGATTCACTTAACTGGGGCTTATTTTGGGGATAGGGCTTATATTACGAGCATCCTGAAAAATCATACTAGGGCTTATTTTCAGGTTAGGCCTTATTTCAGGGAAACGGGGTAAATGATTAGTTAATTGTGGGATGCCCATATGCAGTGTGGGTGGATGGTTGTGTACACCTATGCACATGTACAATTTTAAGTGGGAAAATGATGGAGTGGAGGAACTTCATTAGTACTGTGTCAATCCAAATTGGGCCCCCTTACGCAGTGGCTGATATTCTTAAAAAATACAGTAGACTTGTTAAAGATTCAGTATACTCCAGAAGTTGACAAAAAAGGGTAGATTCAAAATTAAATCTTTGTCTCCCCTGCCAAAACTCCATGCTTATCATTGCATACCTCTAATAAGGGAAGAAGAATCCAGCTTCACAAATAGCAAATGACGTCAACCATAAAAACAAACTTCTCACATTCACACTGCTTGTAGCTTAACATTACTAGCATATGCTCCAAATGTTCCACATTTTTGAAATGAGAAACACTATAAATCCACACATTAAGTTGGTTTTCCCACCTTCTGTGCAATGTGTGTATGTGTGAATATACATGAAGGACTCATTTGGAATGATTTTTCCATAGAGCTTGGAAGTAATGCATTAATAGTCACAACATTACCTGGACCACATCACTTTGGAGGCAGGGGTAACATTATTATTTCTGAAATACAGTGTTGACAATGCTGCATTTTTCAGTGTAACAATTAACACTTATTCATGGCTGCTAAAACAATGAGACTCCTTGGCAAAGTGCCATTTTGGTGAAAGCAGGAGTGAGTTACCCTTATGGATTTCCTACAACACTCCAGAGCTGTAGGGCACGGTGGCTACTCTCAACTGCCTGCCACTTGTGTCATGGAGTCCAGTTTAAATGGGATCCCTTACCAAGGCCCTGGGACCTCAGGAACTGCTTGAGGACATGAGGCGTAGATGCTGGTCTTGTCTGTTATATTGCATAGATTATATCATTAAGATTTCCGTGAGCTACAGTATATCCATAGACCACAAAAAATATCACGTGGCTTGGTATTGGTATATAAGGAAAAAGAGGAAGCTGATTTCAGTAACCAATCACAGCCCTTTGCAACTATTTATCTAGAGGAAACTATAGTAGACAAACGACAGCGTCATCCCTTCCCAAGAAGAAAACAAAACTGTTTTTATGCAACAAAACTAACACAAACAAGCACAAAGAACATAAATAGGCAATAAATCCCCTTGTTGTAGAACACTGGAGAACCCACAAAAAAAGAAAGAAAAATAAGGATGCTAGATCTAAATGGACCCTGGGATTATTGGCAGAGCTCAGAAAAGTTACTTCTTGCTTCCCCAAAGGCAACTGTTCTGAGCTCATGATTGCACAGTACTCTGAACTGGGATGTATATTAAGATCTTGTGAAAAAAACAAACACAAAGGGATTTATTAGGCACCCATGGCACAGTTAGCAGCAAGAGAACACTCACAGAAGATGCGCAGGGGCTGACTGCCTTAGGGGAGGCTGGCGGAGAGTAAGTCATCCTCACAAGAACAGGCATCTCATCATCTGAGACAGGCTTATCTTTGGCTGTGGCACTGCCGTCAGGAGCCTGCTTGCTGGACTCAGGTGACGGGAGCTTTACAGGGACAGAAACAGGCATGACGATGGGCAGGAAGCTCTCCAAATCAGAAGACAGCTGCTCTGGCGGCGGCTGTGGCGGCTGTTGTTGTTGGTGCTGCTGCTGCTGCTGCGGTAGGTTCTCCCCTTCCTCCTGTACAGATAATCAAAGGCTTTCAGCCTCAAGCTGCAGATGGTTCTCAACTAGAATGTTGAAGGCCAGTGTTTGTTTAAATGGTTACTGTTTGGGGCCACCAAAATCCTCCAAATAGCCTGACCACCAGCCAGGATGTCTGGCAGATTCTGGGAGTTGTAGTCCAAAATGGTACATCTCCCTGTTGAGATTTTGATATGAAAATGTAGTAAATATTAATGTTATATAGTTAAATGTAAAATGGCTGATTTTACCTGAGTCACTGTACTGACTGCATTCAGGTGTGGATATCAAGGATTAAGACTTAATGTTGTACAGCTGTGTACATGATGAAACTTTGTGTAACAGAAAGTGAAGTAATGTATTTTCTGATTGGTCACACACAGAACTCTACATAGGTCATGTGTAAAATGAATGTCTATCTGTTGTAAGTCAGATCACATTTTCTTATGCTGTGTGTTGTTAATGTCATGTTATGCTGCCAGAGGAATGTCTATTCTCTATGTATATATGTAAATAGACAAAGTTGTTGGTTTTACTCTCTCAGTGTCATAGTGTCATAAGTATCTCTGCTAACCAATATCTCCTTACTCTGCTGATGTTATGAGAATACACGTTATAATCAACATTCTCAACATGCTCTGCTAAAGGCAGCATAAACAACATGAATTCTTGAGGCATTTGAAAGATTAATTGATTTACTGTTTCATTAGTCCTTGTAGATCAAAGTCCACTTCTTCAAAGATATTTAGTGTCAAACTAGATGAGACACTTGGCTTGCATTTAGAAGTGGTGCTCCCCTAACAGCTAAAAGACATCAGTTTGTCCTATTACAAGAGTTTCTCACATCTTTAACTTGCATTCTATGATGTTTTCTTTTGCAGCTGGCCACAAGGGCTTAATTTGAAGTTTGAAGAAAATCTATATCTGCTGGAAAAATGTGCTGATACAACAGACAACACAATTCTCTTTATTCTTTCCTGCAACAGACAAATAACACCTGCTTGTCCAGTAAACATAATATGAATCAGCACTGCACTCATGGCTAAAGTTGCCGAAGACAAACAGAAAGTTGAACTAGGTTGAAAACCAAGAAAAAAAACACAAGAGGCCATTGTGTTGAGAAAAGGTTTTGCTCTAATTTCAAATGAACAAATACTAAAGGTGTAGTTAATGTTGAGGAACCACTTTTGCCTGGAGGCTAGCCAAAACTTGTGCCTAAGCATAGATCCTATGTGTACAAGACATCACAATTAATGGATAACTGACACACTTGGAAAGGAAAGCTGGAGAAAGACATTATTTCTAGAACAATAGCAAGATTAGTTTCAGTATAGGTGCATTAAAGAAAAAAGGCAAAGCAAAGCAAGCAGCAAAGTTTAGCCCTCAACCCCCAAAAGACTAACAGTCAAGTAACAAGGAAAATGATAAAAATGATATTGTTACGTACCTGTCTGAAAACAGGAGGTGTCCGTAACCCTCCATGGGACCTCATGTGACCATTGAGGGCTGGTAAACTCTTAAATTCCTTCAAGCATACAGAGCATGTTAGCTTGTTCTTTGATTCAGGTCTCTCAGTATAAGTTTCTTTATCAGGACCACTGCTGTTGTCAGGGAGAGGGACAAAAGATATTTTCTTAAGAATGTTCCCAAGTATATTATAGTTGCTGTTGCTTTGCATATAATTCTCTCATAAAATCCCAGACTCAGAACTGGAGTGCATGGAGGTAATGTATGCAAATTCAGTCAAAAGCAATGTTAATTCAATCATTTTCTCACCACTCAGATCAGTGGGGCAAGTTTTAAAGTACATGAATTTAAAATTAGGATTTAAATGTGTTGCTAAATTTCTGTCAAAGTCTAAATAGAATATATGATGTTCAAATGCTCAAATATAGAAGACTCTGTTATATGGGTAGTATGTATATGGATGGAACTGTGAAGAGGGTACAGTTTTGAGTCTTGATTATACCTTTGTTCAGGAGAAACTGATTGCAACCTGTCATCAGGCAGCTGGATCTGTTAGAAACAGAAGAGATATTCAAATATGTCAGTAGTATCTTGGATAAATTTCTCTGTACAGCATATGCACGCGCACGCACACACACAAAATACATACAGTACATGATTCCTTCTCTCTATGGCATTCACACCATCACCCTCTTTAATTTATTTTATTTTCAGGCTTCCCTGAAAAGCAGTGTTTTGAGCTGTCTTCTAAACATTAGCAAGGAGGGGACTGGATACTGCTCCATCAGGAGCTGGTTCCACAGAGTCGGTGCCATGATGAAGGCGGTCTGACCTCTCATAGAAGACTTCTGGGCCTCCTTCGGAGTGGTTATCCAGAAGAGCATTGCCTGGGAGGATCTGGTGGGTTCGGCAGATGACATTAGGGAGAGACGCTCTGACAAGTAGTGTGGTTCCATACCAATGAGGGCTTCATACATGGGCATCAAACCTTTGAACCTGATTCAGGACTCAATGGGTAACCAGTGTGTCAAGAAGTAGCAGAATCGCATTTTCTAGCTATGCTTCTCCATACTGAAACACATGCTGACTAAGCTCTCCTCTAAACTGGGCTACTGAATATTGGGTTCCAATACAAAGGCTCTGCACCTGTATTCAGATGTACATGCATAGAATTCCTCAGGATTCCACATTGTATAAAACAAATCTCATGTGTACTCTACTCATATCTGGCAGAGGTCATAGCTGGTATATGTAATTCCATGGCACTGTGTCCCTGCTTCCTCCTTAAGGCAGGAGGTTGTGTTCTTCTGAATTATCCTCTTCTCAAGTATCACAACAAGAAACAGAACCCAAACATGCAGATAGAGACTGCATCTTCACAGGAATATGAGTGTGTGGGGCTAGGGTGGGAAGAGATGCCATTTCCAAACTCTTCTATCATTCTCCAACCAAAATGATATTAGACATGACTGGGTGCAACTCAGATTACACTCTGTCAAGTCAGGGCATCTCATAGCATCTCTACAATGTACAGTGGACCCTAGACTTACGGAATTAATCCAAAAGTCTGTAGGTCGAGGCTCCATTGACCTACAATGCATTGAAAACCGATTAATCCATAACCAGCCGTTTTTGTTCCATTTTTTCCAGTCTGTAGGTCTATTCTCCAGCTGCAAGTCGAACCTAAATTTTACGGTCAGAGAAGTCTGTAACTCGAAAAGTCTATAAGTGGAGCCGTCTGTAAGTCAAGGGTCCACTGTATATGACTTTCCTCAAATCAACTAACCTGCTGCTGTTACTTGCTATACCAGCGCTCACCATGGAGGCCCAGGTGGCGTCAATGGTCCGCTCCACCTATTTCCATCTGTGGCGGATTGCCCAGCTGCGTCTCTATCTTGATGTTGGGGCGCTCACCACTCTGGTCCACAAGCTCGTAATCTCGAGATTAGACCACTGCGATGCACTCTAAGTGGGGCTACCTTTGGGGTTGTTGCGGAAACATCAAATGGTGCAAAATGCGGCGGCCAGACTTCTCACTGGGACGAGAAAATACCAGCACATCTCTCCCATCCAGGCCGCCTTGCATTGGCTTCCCATTCGTTTCCACATCCACTTCAAAGTGTTAATGATGACTTATAAAGCCCTAAACAGTTTAAGACCTCGATACATGGCGGAGCACCTTTTCCCACCTAGATCTACCTGAGTCACTCGTTTCAGCCAGGAAAGACGGCTGAGGGGCCTAACGCCGAGAGAGGCCAGGAAAGAAAAAACAAGAAACCGGGCCTTCCTGGCAGTGGTCCCTCAACTATGGAACACCTAGCCGCCGGAAATTACCCTGGCACCCTCGCTGGGTGTTTTTAAGAGTCATTTAAAGACCTGACTCTTCAGGCAGGCCTTCCCTCCAGTCAACACCTGATTTTCTTTTTTCTTTAGCTTTTTTTCCCCACCTTGATCTTCTAATTTGCTGATACAATTATGTCATTGATTTACATATACTTTGATGATTTTTTATTGTATTTTATAATGTTTTATTCTTCTTTGTAAGCCGCCCCGAGTAGACTTTGTCTAGAAGGGCAGGGTATAAATCGAATAATAAATAAATAAATAAAATATAATGTTGGAAAAGTAATTCATTGTGTTATTTGTTCCACTGACTGTTACTTTTTTGTTAGCTCCTATTTTTGTTAACATGCACCAAGGGAGAGAACTAGAATTGATAAAAGAATGGCATCAAATTGAAAAGGTCATGCCAAAATACCTATGAAACGACCTTTAGAAATAACATTTGAAGAAACTTACCTAACATAACTAAGTATATCACTAAAGGAACTTCAATCTTACAAGTTATGTTATTTTTGAAATGCAACTTCATTACACTTTAATATATAATGTGCACCGAGATTTCAGAAAGCAGACAGTGGATCAAGACCCACTGTTAAGAGGGGCTGTTGTAATTTCCTTGATTACATGTTACATTTCACATGTTATCTCATATGAGTTCAAGAGAAGTTATTTCGCACTACCCAAAAACATCTGCAGATATGTTTCAAGTTGGAGCAAAGCTACATAATGATATAATTTGTGCACATAGTGTGGGCCGCTACAACACAGTGGCTGAAATTCTGTTGCTCCATGTAGTAACTCACAAGTTGAGTAGTCCTATGGAATCAACTGAACTTATGGTGATGACTCGTCAAATCCCCATTGATTCAACAGGCCACAACTACTCTAGCTTTGACTTACTATGCTAAGTAATAGGATTTCAGCCAAAGTGTCCACCTAGGTACATTAAAATAATAAATGTAGGGTTCAGATGGGCAAGAACCCTCTGCTGCAGACAACCGCACTACTACTTTAATAAGTAACATCCAACAGACTGTCATGTCAATAGACAAATTTCACTGCATCTTTTGCTGAATACTTCTTTCTCAGAACTCTTACCAGAACAGTCTAGAAACTCTGGCTGAGGGCCACACCACAGCTTACCCCCAAACCCAGATCTCAGAAAGTAAACAGCACAGAAAGTGTTCACATACCTGAGGCCACACTGTACTGGGGGACAATTCCTGGGACCCTCTGTCATTCATGATACCACTTGCAGGAGATATAAGAGGCTGGTGAGGGAGGCTACCATCAACTGAGTTTATGCCTGCTTGTGTTTGACCTTCAGGCCCCTCTGGTCCAGGGAGTCCAAACTGAGATTCCATCAGAGCCCGTGCTTTGTCATCATTCTGGAAGTGGTCTGATTGCCTGGTATCTCCTGTTGGCTGCATGGGTTGCAATAAGCTTTGTGGATACATCTGTCTGAACGACTGCTGTTGATCCTGATAGAAGTACTGAGGAACTGCTCCCAGCTGAATAAGCTGCACAGAATGTCCTCGATCATGGGAGTATGGGTGAGTTTCCTGGAGAGGCTTCTGCTCAGGATCTCTGTGATAAGGAGGAAGTTGCATCTGCATTTGTTGCTGTTGCTGCTGCTGTAACTGTTGCATCATAGGTTGTACTGGATAATACTGAGCTCTTTGCACTGTGCATTGTCTTTGCTGCTGCTGTTGCTGCATTTCGTGCATCAGGAGCCTGTGCTGACTTTGGTGAGGGGGATGCTCCTGTAGATAATATTGATCCTGCTGCAGCTGCTGGGGCAGCAAGTGCTGAGAATGCATTTGCTGCAAGTGGGCCTGTCCTTGATTCATTGCAGGGTGCATTTGCAAATGGGCTAGATGTTGCTGGTTGTCATAATAGAGAGGTTGTTGGTGCTGCATCAAGTGCATGTGCTGCTTTGGTTGGGTGTTTGTGAATCCCTGGTGGACTTGTGGTGGCACCTGCTGGTATCTTTGCACTGGTTGAGACTCCAGAGCCGGCTTTTGAGACAGCAGTTGTCGAAGGGCACTGTCATTAGCATTCTCCATTGCCAAAGGCTGGGACTGAATGATCTGAGAGACATTGTTGACTTGGATTCGTAAATTCTGGTTAGCAAATACTTGGGCAAAGGAGTCTAACTTATGCAAAGCTCCACTTGTTATTTTCTGCAACCTGACCTCATTAGATTGGGGGGAGAGATGTTCATATCCATCTGTCGGTTCTCCTTGACTAGGTGGGCTCCACATGACATTCTGATTGTTCCTTATGGGCAGGTGGTTCCCAGATCCCAAATGGGTCCAGCTTGCCTGCCTAGGAGAATCCATCAACCCAATGGATTTGGACACAATGCTATCGTGAGGGAATGAAGGGGACAGGGAAGAATCCTGAGATGTGTCAATGGCGTCCGTTCCATAGTTGTGGTTTAAAGGTGCAAGAGAATTCAGGTGCTGCTGCTGATAATACATGTTTTCACCATCATTTTGGTTCATTTTGTACATCTGCTGATCTCCCATTTTTAGCACTTCTTCTCTCATCAACAACCATTTAAAAGAAAAAAAACTAATCCCTGAGAACTCTTCAGGATGCAAAATGGAAGCTGTTTTATTCTTTTGGCTGGTCTGCTTGTGCTACAAAATTGAATTCTTCATCAATGGCCATTCCACTTTCAATCTTAGGATGTTTTATAAAATGCCTTAAGTCTTTGACTTCAAAGAAGACACGACGCATGGCTGGCTCCAGATACCTGAAAAAGAAAAAGAGAAATGATGTAACTGTTTCTGGGCTAGGTGTCCTTCTCACCTTCCTTTGGACAAGGCTGTTTCTAGCAGGGTTACAATAATGCAAAATCGAAAAATCATGTTTACAAAGGATACCATATGGTGAACTAGACTGGTCATAGTGTGTAACAGGACAAGTACATACCTCCCCCCCCCCCCCCCAAAAAAAAACAAAAAATACTACTCCACACAGAGGGAGTTTACAGAAGAGAAGTGACTGAGGATGTATTTTTCATGTAGAGCTGGCAAGAGAAGGGCTTAATAAAAATAGAACATTTTAAAATGCCAGATTAGGGGCTGGACAATTCTGGAGGGACTGTGGGTCAAAACTTTGCCCTCAGCACTTGTCACCCTTGCCCAGGCCTGGAAATAACCAAAAACTGGGAGGGGGAAGGGGGGGAATGGAGATGCATCCATGGCTGATGTTTCAGAGCTTCAGCTCGAAGGTTCTCGTTTCCCATTTTGACTGGAGAGTGAGGGGTTTGGGGGCTACAAACCCATGCGCATGTGCGTACATACATGTATACATATGTACACACATACACACACACACACAATCTCGGTCCGTGGAAGCCTCAGGAGTAAACAAGAGAAAAATTCTGTTCATTTTCCTCAGTATTGATGGGAGGGGCATTAGGGACCTCAAAGGGGGCCTGAGAGGCCTCAGCAGTACAGGGTAGACCCATTCTCTCTTCCCCGCCGCCATTTTAAATGATTAGGGAGCATTTACATGAAAAATAGTCTCTACCAATATGAATCTTCCAAAGACTTGAGAGGCCCAGTTTGTATATAGATTTAGATGTGAAAGCAAGGAAACAGGGAACTTCAGTTTAACTACAGATCTTGAAGCTTCCACATCTAGCTAGAAAGATTTTTGCTCCACACCACACACCCCACTACTTCAGTTCTGCTTTCTCCAGCCTGTCTGTTCATAATATTTTAGTGATCCAATAAAAGGATTATCCACCTTAGTTTCTGAAGATCAAACATGGCCTACATGAGCAAGTTTCTTCTTTGTAAGGCAAAATCGTTCCTGCATTAAAAATATTCTTGTTGGCAGGGAAGAAAATAACAGAGAGCCTATCTTTCCTCAGGATGGAGGTCTACATTTTAAACTGCTACAAAAAGTCTGATAGTGTTGATGTTTGATAGATTGTTTTGTTGCTCTTATAATTTTAGATACCAGTGTCTTATTTTAACCACGTAACCCTGTTTATAGCAAACGGCTTTAGGAAAATATTTTGTAATGCCTAAAATAAAGCAAAAATAAATAAAATTAACCTTCTTCAAAATAAGGTTTCTATTTATCCCAGAGGGTAAGAGGGCAATCCTTTATTCTCAAAATTCCACTGCAAATCACTCTCCCTGCTCGAGGTTTCAAATATCTGAGATTCTCTTAACATTTATTGCACTGCCTATCTCTGAACATGGAAAACATATACTCAGCTACATCCTTATATATAACTGTCACCAGCTCATACACCCACTCTCTCCCCACATCCATTTAATAGGTACATGTGTGCTAAATCTCAGCCAGCACACAGTGATCTCCTGAAGTGTTCTTACTTCTCTTTTCCTCCTAGTGTGATCCCACCATCCAAAAGCATGCCCACCTCACTGCTGTCACAGAATATATTTCTTATATTGGGGGCGGGGGCAGGGACACACATTTCAACCCAGAAAGAAAGCCTTTCCTTGTCTTTCAGGGGACAGAGACTACTCTGAACCTGGAAAAGTTATCTTTTAGACTACAAATCCCAGAATCCTCCAGCCAGCATGCCTGTATTCCAGATTTTGCTCCCATTCAGTTCCTAAAAGCCACTGCCTCTGGTCATGGACAACCAACAAGCAAGTATCAGGGACAAATGAACAACTATCTGTTTTAGGTTTTCTCTATTTCTCTCTCTCTCCCCCCCCCATCTTAATCTTCATCCACCAGGATAAAAAGAAGAAAGAAAACTTGCACTTGTTAGACCACATGCTAAGGCAAATGCATACTTCTTCCTCTTATAAGTTGTCCCTCCAGGTTCACAAATCTTTCTCAGCTATTTGTCTGAGACATCATCAGCCATTTTAAAAAGCTAGTGTTACATTTTATGCCCCCAACTGACCAATTAAAAACAAAAGCAAGCTAATTTACCAAATATAGATTGACTATCTAGCAAATAGCCAGGTTAATCCAAGCACACTTCTGTTAAAATGAAAAGACAACCTTTTCTTCTTAAGGATGTACTTCAGATGCAAATCACCCTCAATGAGTTGTGGTGTATTTTCTGACCTCACAAGAATTGCAATGAACTGAGTATTAGGATAAAGTTAGAGTTAAATCTGTGGTTAAGTTTTTATTATTATTATTATTACAATATTACTTTAATATATAAACCACCTCCTTAATGCCAAAGCACTATTCTGGACAGTTTACAAACAGTTAAAATAGAACTGCAGCAAAATAAAACACTAGAAACTAAAATATTATACCCATAATAAAACAAAATCTAAAAACTAGAAAACCCAATGGTGCAGTCAATTCTCAGCCTGAAGCTGAAACATGAGGCAGGAGGTTCAACCTGGATCAGCGTGAAAGACCTCCCTGAAGAGCAGTGCTTTTAGCTGCTCCCTAAATGAGTAGGTTATGGAATCAACTCTCTTCTGAGAGTTGGTTCCATAACCTTGATGTCACCACTGAGAAGGTCCTAACCCCAGAAGAAGATTTTGGGCCTCTCTCGGGGTGGCCTGGGAGTATCTGGGTCGGACAGATGACATAGGAGAAAGATGCTCCAACAGGTAATGTGGTCCCAAACTATGGACAGCTTTACATGTGAATGTTAAAACCTTGAACCTGATCCAGGACACAACAGGTAACCAGTGAAGGCTAGCCAGAACTGGGGTGATGCGGTCAAATTTGTCCCACACCAACCACCAGTCTGTCCACCACGTACTGGACCCACTGTAGTCTCCAGATCAGGCCCAAAGGCAGCCACACAAAGAGAGGGTTGCAGCAATAGATCTGGGAGATGACCAGCGCCTGCACCAACATTCTAAGGGAGCCCTCATCTAGGTAGGGAGGTTTAAATGTATACATGGGGTAGAAAATAATAGATAACCCATCACTAGAAAATGGAACTCCTTAACTGTTGAAAGCATATGAATACAGAGCAGGAGCCTTTTTCATCTCACAAAATGTGAAAATTAGTTTTCCTTGTTTTGCAATAAGTATGACATTTCTCTGAGGTCTGTTTTCTCAAATACTAAAGTCTGCCAAAACCACATCTCTCCCCTACAAACATACTTTTAACTCTAATCACAGGCTATAATATTTGTTTCTGGCATTGCATTTCCTAAATCTAATGAGAATTCCAATGACCACCCACTCCTGTAAGAGGCCAATATACTGTACTAAATAATCAGAATACATTATTCCTGCTTCTAACCATCATGGTTTGCTAATTATATAATTAATAAAAGCACATAAGTTTTTTTAAAATTTTGTTTTATTCCCATCCATTACATTGGTTGAGACAAAAAAAGTAGCTGATGGCAAAAAAGTAATAGATTTGCTATCACAGCTTTTTCCGCAGGTAAAGGTAAAAGGTAAAGGTTCCCCTTGACAATTTGTCCAGTGGTGTCAATTCTTTTGTAGATTCTGCAAGAAAATATAGCTCTTGGATCCTATCCTGGTACATGAAGGTTACATTTGATTAGCTGTACCTTGATATGAGCAAGTTTTTTTAATTAAAAAAACTGGTGTACCTATTTGTGCATGCAACATATCAGTTTAGATATTTCCTTACCTAATAAAAGCTCAATAAAATATATTTGAGAATGCTGATTGAAAAATTACAATACAGTACTAATGCTGGATTATACTGGTAGTCTGAGAAATGTGGAAGGGGGAATCCTGTTTTTAATATCTTCTCCACTCATTACACTTTTGAAAGTAATACTCATTATCTCAAGAGAACCATTACAAAAGCCAAATGAACAATTATACCCTGAGAATTAGAACTTTTTAAAATAAATGCCATTATTGTAGTAGTGGAGAACTATATTAATTTTAACTAAGTATGTTCAGCTTAGTGCAAAAGACATTTTTAAAGCCAAAATTACTGTCAAAGAAATGAAGTGCTCCTCTTCCACATATATCTGGTTATCTTTTGGATAAGTTACTTCATGAATTCCCCCCCCCCAATATACTTCAAATAATTCTTGCTGCTGGGAGAAATGCATTAAGAGACATTTATGGTACTACTTCAAAATGTTGATGTACATCAAATAACAATCCAACAATTTAGAGAAAATATCAAGGTTACTCTATAAAATATTTAACCATAGCCCAATGAGAAACACAGCTGGAAAAGTGATAGGCAACGAAAAATGTTGACAGGATTACAGTGATTTCCCTAGAAGAAAAGGTGAAAGGCAAGAGAAAAGATGACTCTGGAGAAATGGACAGAGCTTTATAAAATTATGCCCAGAATCGAGCAAGTGTGATATACTGATAGAGTATTGAAGAACTGGGTTCAAATCTCCACATTGGTCACTAGGTGGCTTTAGGCAAGTCACATTCATCTCAGCCTGAGCTAACTCAAAAAGTTGTTGTAATGATAAACTGGGGAGGAAGAGAGTCACATATGCCACCTTGATCTCAGTGGAGAAAGCCGGCATATGTATGTATGTATGTATGTATGTATCTATGTATGTATGTATGTATGTATCTATGTATGTATGTATGTATGTATCTATGTATGTATGTATGTATGTATCTATGTATGTATGTATGTATGTATCTATGTATGTATGTATGTATGTATCTATGTATGTACGTACGTATGTACGTACGTACGCACGCACGTATGTATAAAAAATCAACTAACTAACTCTTAAAATACACATATATGTCAAATCACTGATCCATATAGGTCAGCACTGTCTCCACTGATTGACAATGGTTCCCAAGAATTCCTAG